GTAATATTTTGCTGGTTTGTCATTAAGCCAAAGGACGTTTTTAGTTCTTGATGCTTGGATGTCTAAAGCCTGTGTGGGATGCCTTAGTTTCGAGAGTTTTGATGACAGTATGTGCATGTTGGGTAGAGCAACAGAGAGGAGCCTTCAAAGCTAGTGGAAGAATGGAACAATTTTGCCTCCCTGCAAACTAATTTTGGAGAAACTGTGCTTAAAAATAACTTTTCTTTGTGAAAAATCTTTCATGCAAGTTAAATGTGCAAATGTTATCCTGAAAGACCAAAGCAAGCGGGATTTAAGGCATGGTTTTCTGCGTGCTTCCTTTGGTCTGGAAGGGACCTTCCCCGCGCGGGACTTGCACTTGTGAAGCCCAGGACTGCAGTTGGTGCCGCTCAGTTTTGTCTGTCTTGCTCTTGTGACGCTTTGAGCAGTCCTAGCAACTGAACTGAGGATTCGTGTTCCTAGTGACTGCATCTTGGCTACAACAAACCTAAAGAAATGCATTTGGAAATCAAAGACTCTCCAGTTCCGCATTTGGCTTCCCACCAGTGACGGTTTTCTAGCCCTSTCTAAGATACGGGGCTGTCATTTTTGACATGATTGGCTTTTTTGACTTTGGCTTTTTTGGCACTCTGTTTCATGCAAAAAGTTTTTGAATAATTAGCAGTATTTTTTTTACCCTGGAAACATTTCTAGCCTAGTATTTCMGATATAGGAATTGGGAACTACATTTTTCCTACACTATCGCGTATTGATAGCCTGGAGTGATGTTCAAATGAAAATAGACCTYCTGTACCCATCATGTCACTGGGTGCATTGGGCTGTCCATGCGGTTTCACCAAATTGGCCTGTTGTTAAAACCATGATGTCCTGCTCCCATTTCATGCAGCAGTCTGTGCAGCTGAACCCATAACCTTCTCCAGGACCATAGGGCAGCAGCATGTGTRGAGGCTCTTGGTTGGTGCATGTTGAGGATCCCCTGGGATCCTCCCTTGGGAATGAGCCCATCCTTCCAAAAGTCATCGCCTTTGGGTGCCCCTGAGTGCTCTTGGATCAGATGGTGCCTGTGTCCCCTGTCCTGTGGACATCGCCTTGGTGCCTTGTTTGAGGTGACCTGACAAAAGGGACTTGGAAACCCTGAGAAGCATCGATTTGATGGGACTATTGGCCTGATAATCACTCGAGGATAGGATGATATTTTGGATCAAAGCAAGTYCTACTTTATTTGCTTTTACAGCTATGCATGATTTCTCCTGGTGCCAGGCAATGAAGTTGGATCCAGACTGCTTCTCTCTAGGCTTTTTTTTGCTTGTTTGTGGGAGTTTCGGTGACTATTTCTTAAATTTATATATATATATATATATATGTATTTAATCACCAAGTAGGATGAGAGCGACAGCTCTTCCGACGTAAACCGGAGCCAGGTTGTGGAGGAGGTTTTAGCCGCACGGTCTAGGTGCCCGAGCGAGCGTCCTCGGGAGCGGCGCCTGCGCGGACCCCGCGCGCCCGCCCACGTCCAGCCCGGCCCCGGCGGCCACAACTCTTCGGGGAAAAAAATTAAAAAGGGATTTGTCAGGAAATCGATGCTCGGGTGTTTTGTTTGCTTGTTTTTGAGCCAAGAAAAATGGTTTGTTTCAGACTAAATCACTTTGAAGATATTTTAACGCTTATTGGATTGGACAAAAGCAGTGCTTGCAATGAAAATTTTCTATTTTGAGAATGTCAAMATCAAGTTGTTTTCTTGCTCTGCTCTTTTTTTTTCAGGGTGGATAGTTCGTGGAAGCCGAGAACTGCCTTTCTATTTGTTTTGAATATATATTTGTGGGCTAAAAAGTGAAACCCTCTTAATCTTGCTCCAGTTTGCAGGAAAGCTCCCAGAAACCTGAAACTGCAGGATGAAGTATAACCAAATATCCCAGAATATCTGTTTGAATTAATAAAACTGTCAGATATGATGGTTCAGAGAATTTAGGAGCTGATATGAATCAGAAGTACATAAAACTATGATATGGTCTTACTAAATATAGTTGTATTTAAACAGAGTGCTTGTTAATTGACTTGTTTATAAGTTGCCTTTGACTTCTGCATATGTTTTAAGTAAATATGTGTGTGTGTGTTTTAAAAAAAATAAAAATAAAAATCAAGAGACCCTGGTAAATAAGAGTCGGAATAAATGGCAGTGATTGAGTAGGGGTTTCCAGTGGGCACCCTTTGGAAAGTCTATTTTTGTTTTGTTCTTATGCAATTAGAGGCCTTCTGAGTACTGCATCGTAAAGATGTGTCTGTGGAATCTGGGGCTTGGCTCTCCATGCTGGGGCACCAGCTCCTTGGCAGGACCCTGAACCAGCAGCTTCAGGGCTGGGACATGGCAGCAGGTGGAGATGACACTGCCACGGGTGGTGGTGGCATCTCAGAGCACAGACTCTCTTGATTAGTGAGTCAATAAATGACAGCACAGGATTATCAGTTAATATTTAAGTGCATGCTGAACTATAACTAAGGTACGTAACAAACTGAAACTAAATCAGACCAACTGAATTTTTGGAGGATATCTTTTAAAAAGAGAATCTAGTTGACTCTGCTTTTATTCTTAAGGCACTGTTACATGCACTGTAGGATTATTGGTTAAAATTGGTTTAGAATACCCCTTTTCCCTCTAAATTGTACATTATATATTTTTGAAGTTGAAAAATCTACATGTGTTTCGAGCCGCAGAGCTTCATGTTGAAATGCCTCRTGACGAGGACAAGATAAATATGGGCATGTTGAGCTGGTGCAGGCGGGCAGAAGATGAGTTCACACAAAGGATAAAATTGACACTGGATAAATAAAGCTGACTATTGTATGAAAATACTAGCTATAAGCAGAAGCTTCTATATAAAGCATTATTTAAAGTATCTGATAGGGCAGGCTAAATTCCACTTGAAGCTCTCTATAGGAGAAGGGGGAAAAGAAGGATGTCTTGCTATTAATTTTTTTCGGTCAAATGACTAGAACTGCTTTTACAGTTAAGTTAGGTTATGTATAGAGGGAATGTAGGGACTATAGGGGAATTAAACATGCAGGAGCTTCAGCGAAGCCCTTGAATGCTGCTTTTAAAATAGTCCTCGAGCATCTGAAATCTATATGACGAAGTCGTATTCTGCAGAACGCTCCGGCTGACTGTGTGTTCCAAAATTATCCCGCAGCACATTTTTATGGATGATTTAAGCCCCGGAGCCAAGGGTTTATAATAGAAGTACAGACAGATTGAGACTGGTAAATATAGCAGCGCTAATAGCGTCGCTCTCACATGCAGCCAGAATATTGTAGCTGGGGAGCCTGGCTGCTTCCTTCCAGACCGGCAACGCCATCCGAGCGCTCCGCGGTCACCCGGCGAGGGGGAAGGCCCTTGAGCTCGTGCATCTAACGAGCCAGAAAGGGAGGAATCATTTGGGAGGGTTGGGACGAGTGCTGCTCGCTGTCACTGCAGCTCCTGCAGCTCCAGCCTGTCGCTTCAAGGAGGGAGCAGTTTGCGTGAGGTTAGGGCTGGTGATGGATTTTTTTTTCAATTGGGAGCCTTTGATCTGGTATTGAATATTGTTTGCTCTCCTCCTTGAATCAATGCRAAATGAAGATTTTATAGATTTTACTCATTTTCTTTTTTTTTGGATGAAATAGTATCTCTGCTCATTTCTGTCCTATGACCCTCATTAACTTCTGGAAAGTGCTTAAGGTTCTGCAGATGGTGAAAAAGAGGTGGGGGATAGACAAGATGGGCGAGGAAGGACCATGCAAGTCGCAGTCCTAGGAGGACTTGGGCTTCAGAGACAGGCGGTGTCGCTGCTTTCCCTGGCCCTGCTGGAGGTATCTCTTCTGGTCCTTGGGACTAAGCTACAGCGCTTGGTAGCAGTTGGTGCCCCAGACTTGCTTCTATTCYAGTTTCCTTGAGGGGGGAAAAAAGTTTCCTTTCCTTGCAGCATGATGGTAGTCTGAGGAAAAGCTCACTTTGGGGGCTTTTCACCTGAGACCTGCTCTGTGGTTGGCATGGCAAGTCACAGATGTCTGATTTCCCCGGATGTTTTTCATTCTTGTCCGGTATAGCATGGGAAGTGKTTTTCTGGTGTCTGCTGACCTGCCGGTGTCGTTGCAGGAAGGAGTGAGTTTAGCAGAGCCGGGGTGACCGTGAATATTGGGCCCAGGTGTAGAGGTTTCTTTGCTGCCTGCTGAGGATCCTGCAGCGTTCATGAATGGCTGGGTTTGTTCAGTGGGTTACGCAGGGTCTTTGCTGGGTCTGCACAACAGGGGCTTTGTGTTTCACTGTTTGATTTTCTCCTACATGAGGCCCTGGTTAAAAGGCGGCTGTTGTTTGGTGCGGACAGACCTTCTGCCTGTTTGGGGACTAGCAGCGTTTGCTCTGAATGTCTTGGCAGTTTGGGAAAACACCCGGGCAAAAAACTCCGTCTCACTGTAACTGTTTTGAATACTATTTGCAGAAATATCTGTTCATACACAGATACGTATACTTTGTGGTYTCAAGCTGCTGATTCTTGAATTGTTTGGAATTGGATGTTTTGGCTCTTAAAATATAAGCAATCAACTGTTTTAAAAGTGTTTCCCCATGTTTTTTYGTTAATACAGTATCAAACCACATACAGTGCACCAGGAAGCTGGGCTTTTCTAGCAAGCTCTGCTTGTTGTAAATGGACAATTTTTCAAGCTGGTATCGTGGAGGGTTGGCTCTGCACATCCCTACCTAGTGGCATTTATCTTCTTTTTTTAAAATTTTATTTTTTTCCCCCATCAAAAATCATTTCTTTTGATAAATACAAGCTTACAGCCAGAGCCTCTTGGGTGCCGTGTTTAATTGCAAGTGTGGGCTCCCGAGTTCTCCAGGGACGTTCCCCRAGTCCTTTGATGTAAGGTCCCAGCCTCTGCGCACGTGTCTCCGTTCAGCAGGGATCTGTGTTGTGTTCGTTTTTACAAACAGCCAACTTTAACAGTCTTTTTTGGTGCTTGCTCAGATCAGGTGGACCAAAACAGCAGGAAGTGCCTCTGACCGATTTCAAGACTCGAGTGTCTTCAATGAAACTCTGAGGATAACCAACATCCAGCGACATCAAGGAGGCCGCTACTACTGTAAGGCCGAAAATGGCTTGGGTTCGCCAGCTATAAAGTCCATAAGAGTGGACGTGTACTGTAAGTAAAAAGTTTGGAAAGGTTTTTATCATGCTTTTTGTTAACTTCTCCTACTATCTGGCTTTTTATAAGAAAACGGCAGGTTCTTTGTGAAGTCCAGTACAGAAATAGTGGTACTTTAGGACAGGTTTGTGTTACTGATCCTAGCTCTTGTGACCGTTCCCACCAAAGGTGGAGGAGGCTGCTCACGTATGTAAGCCTCTTGGAATGGAATTGTAGTATTATGATAAGAAAGATTAATTAAATTCAGACCCAACTTGTCCTGCTTTTGTATAAGAAGAAAGTTGCAAAACTGTAGTCATTGGGACAACCCTTAATTGCTTGTATTTTTCTACACTTGCTGTGGTGTAGGGATTTGGGAGCAAATAAGGATGTTTTTGCAACATTACAGTATTTCAGCTTTATTTGTTGCTGAAAACTTTTTTAGTAGTGATGTTTCATGTTCCTATGATAAATGTTTCAACAGCACCATTTRAAATGTTGCAGGCTGTAATGTTTGAAGCATGGGGAGAGCAACACAAACGGTCCCGAGAGCTACAGATAAGAGGGAACAAATGAAAACTTCACACTGCGATAAATGTAGCCCGTGTGTTGATGCAAAATGGGATAAAACTGAAAAAAAAAAAGCTCCAACTAGCACAGAACTGGTGCCAATGACTGGCCTTGTCAGAAGTAGGGTGGCTCTTGCTCTTAAAGTAGCTTGTTGCTGTAGGTTTAACGTAAGGATAAACTTTTCATTTGACTCTAACTTACATGCCTGTATGTAGCTCTCGGAAATGAGCAGGTCTCAATACCTCACACAGCTGTTATTGTCCACGCTTCCAACGGAGCGCGGGAGGCAGTACATAACAGTTAAAATAGCTAGGGCTCTAGGTTAGAACTTCAGTTGTCTGAGTACTTAATAAAAATAATAACGTGCACACACAAAATGTAACCGTCTTATAAACCTGCAAAATTGGAGCTTTTGTTTATTTCAAAGTGCCCTTTCTTGGTCAGCTTGGTCAGGTGAATCTTAAAACATAGGTTGCTTCAGAGACACGGATGGTGAAGACTTCTGTGGGATTGCTGGAGGGACACCTGCCTTGGAGAGGGGTTTTCCTTGCCTTGCGGAAGCTTACGGGCTACTCGAGTATTTGCTTGGCGTGGTGTTGGGCTGAGGGTGCTGGAGTGCAYGCCAGCCGCAGCACGCAGCTGCAGGAGGGTTTTATCTCTCAGCCCTGTGGAACTATCGGATAAAAGCCCCAAGAGCAAATATTTCTCTTTATCCCAGCATCCCAGTACCACGTTCTCCTTAGTTCTGATGGTAGCAGGAAGAGTGCTCTAAGGGGTCTTAAGGCTAGATGGTCTAAACCTGTTGTGTTCAAAATATCAAAATAGTTATTTCTAATTTTTTCTTCCTTTATATATATATATATGTGTGTATATATATATATAAAATATGCTGCTACTTAGTATACATCACACATGCCTTTCTGGAACATGACAAATGTTAGGTTCCAACTCTAATCAAATTCCTGGTGATTTCCCCTCATCTGCATGCTGATATTCCCCTGGGTTCTGCTATCTATTAATGATCAAATATTGCTAGGCAGACAATTGCTACCTGGAGATACTTGATCATGCAGTAAGCTGCAGACACCAACGGAGATTGGATCTGGCTGTGAAAACGATACAGGGAAGGGGRATCAAAAGTTCCTGAGAGATCAGAGTATTAGGAATTGAAACGTTCCTGGACAATGCTGTGCTTTAGTGGTTGAAATTTTCTCTTTTCATTTAGTATTTACTGTATAGATATTTTGTGTGTGTGTGTGTGTGTGTGTGATGTCAAGGACTCTGTGCAGGACCGAGTCGGGATGGGGGGTTCTGTATGCGTTTTTATGAATAATGGTCTGTGAGAGGCTTTCACTCAGACGTCAAGACACACGAGGGAGATCACAGGCGCTCAGCCAGCGTTTTCCATCAAAATGTGTTTTTCTTTTAAGTAAACACTTATTAAATAAAACTACAGAGAAAGGCAGCTTTCCTCACAGATTTAGATAAGTGTCAAAAGCAGCTCTGCAAAACAGAGCAGAACTTGGGAAACCAAGTCGTATTCTTGATTTGAAACATAAAAGCTAAAATTTTCCACTGTAGCTAGATTTTTCTTCTTTTTTTTTWAAATTTTCTGATGAAACACTCCAGATCTGTTTAAGGAAATAACTAAAAGTATATGTTTCTGGAACATAGTGGAAGTGGGAAAAGCAATTGGAAAACATCTTGGTCCATCAAGCTAAGTGTACCGCGTTGAGTTTTGGATCAAAAACTCTTTGAAAGAGGTGATTTAAGCCTCTAATTTTTCCTTGGAAAAGGCCCTGCGTTTGTCAAGCTCAACAGCGAACGGCTGAGGAAAATCTCCAGAAGGTCTTTGCTTCTCCTTGCTCTCTGTTACAGGCTTGGCTGGGAGGCTCCGACCCCAAGGTTTGGGTGGCAGGTGCTGCTTGCTGCCCGTGGGTTCGTGTGCGGTGTTTTGTTGCTGACCGAGATGTCCGGCAGGTTGGGACACAGCGGTGGTGGCCATTGGAGTTACCGTCACGGGCTCTGCCCTCGGTGCTCGTACAGGCCTGCGTGTCATCCCCTTCTCTTTGTACTTCACGAGGACGATGCTGGCATAATGGTTTATTTGGGGGTGTTCTGTTCTTCCCATTGGAGATTTTCTAAAAGCCGTTCAGCTGTTATTCCCGGTTCTGTGCCGCTCTGACGCATACTCGCTTTCCTGCCCTAAGAAAACAACAAAAGAAGCCTTTATAAACACATGCATGTGTAAGGAGCACAGCTGAGGAGTTAACCCAACCACACGCGATCTAAATGTAACCCGGGGCACACGGGGGATGCTGGACCAAAGGAGGTGCTGTCTGCCTTGTGCACGGTCCAGCAGGTATCCATCTGTCCCAAGGCACTGGTTGTGTCTCTGCCTCCCCCTCAAACAGTCCTGCTGGATTACTGAGCCTCGGAGTTGCAGGAAAGTCCTTCAGTTTTACCCTTCCTATCAAGCTGCATTTAGTCAAGGCTCTGCTTTTAGTGCATCTGTCACAGAGCAGGGTGACTTTGCCGGCGCCTTCTGCGGGTGACGATGCTGGTACCTACTGGGCTTAAAGCTATCGTGGATGTCTCTAGGTTGCACTCTCTTCTGTTCTGTTAATATAACTTGAAGCTGCAAAAATAGCAATCCCTTTTGGTCTGGTGTCAAAATATTTGAATGTGAAAAGGAGAAGAAAAATAAGATGATCCTTGTTTTGTGGTTGAAGAAGCCATCCAGGTAAATGGTAAACACCAGGTTGCACCAGCACAATTTAAACACATAGAACGTCTTCAATACTGAAGCAGGAAAGAGCTAGAAATACCTAATTATTAGCATAGATTATCCATGGTAAACTGGTGTGGACTAGCATTATTCTGTTTAGATGGACACAAATATATTGCAGTCCCTCTGCGTCACCTTTTGGCAAACGAGTGTTTGACCATGCCTTGATGTTGGCTTGGAAGACTTTYGTCCAAAGCAGTTTAAACCTGACTAAATGTTTCAAGTTCCTTGCAGAAACGTGCTGTATAAGCAGTGCGAGAGCTTGTACTGGACTTTGCTCCCATAGGGAGAACACGGTCTTCCTTCCAGAACCACGGTGGGTCCCTTCATGCTGTGGGAAAGGGCTCTGTTGGTGGCATCTTTTCAGCAATCCCMTGTTACCTATGTTACCTAAGTAACTTGCCATTATAACACAGGATCTTTGAGCTGAATATCTCATATTCCTTAATTTTGATTGTGTTTTTATTGAATTTTGACCCYTACCAGGTTCCGTTTGGCTGAATGGGGGTGTAGTCAGCAGTTAATTTCCCTGATTCCAGAGCTGTGCAGGTAGCAGGGGGAGGTTCACCCAAAGTACCTGTGTATCAGGCTAAGGGCCAAGGGCTAGTTTCAGAAGAGAACTTAAAAATAAGAGATGCTTTTTCCCAGATGCAAAATTAGCTATCAYAGCGTAATTGGAGGGAAGAGCTACATGTTATCCACAGAAATAAAAAAGATGTTTGTGAGGCCAGAGCAAGTCTGGACCTTCTTCCTGTGAAGGCATCAATGTTTTTAGCTATTTTTTTTGCAAGAAAAATGTGTGTATATATATGTATATATTTCTTTGAAGATCTTCTTCCTTCTCCCATGAGGCTGAAACAAATGTAGTGTGTCCTCTTTTCATCATATTTTCAGGCGGGAAGCTGCCTGTTCTTGGTGTTCCCCCAGGGAAGGACTGCCTCCTGTTGCATATCCAGCCTGGTTTCATCCCGAGCTTCGGCTCTTTCCTCATTCCCTGGCAGTATCTCTATGCAGTGTAGCTCATTTTTTCCAAGAAAAAGCCATTGTATGTAGTCACTGTCTAGGAAAAATTTTGCCTGACTTAGGGCGCCCTTTCTCCTCTTTTGTAAGCAAAGCAGCTTATTGTATAAATTAAGTGTTTTTATTTAAAGCAAAGCCTCTGTATTGGGGTTTCTGTTTGCTCCAGAAGGGCACCTTACCATGTTGTTAACAAAGAAATACTGTTTCACAGAGAAAAGRTGTATTTTTAATTCTCTTATTTTGCTGATCCTTATGCATACAAGGCCAGGATGCACAAATGGGGAAGAAGAGAGTAGAATTAAGGGCTGGCCACAGCCCTTGTCAGACAGGAGCCAGGACGACTTCTAGCAGTTTGACGCCCTTGTTCATAGGGGACGTTTTCCTCTGAAGGGAACACTTTCTATAGGTGACAYTGCTGAGAGGTCCCATTACTGTGGCGAAGCAGCCCCAGACTTCTGGATCCCACCGATGGTATCGGGAGGGATGGAGCCTCCCAGCCTCGGCAGCAGCGAGGGGGATTGACAGAAACGCTCCGTGCTGCCAGGTTGCTTCAACAAATAAGCAGCAGCACAGCTCTCCTGGCTCGGAATGGCACGGAATGCTGCTGATTGTTCGTACCAAATGGCAARATGCCAAGCTG